AGATATATTTGAAATTAGCCATATAATTAAAAAGAAATTAATATATTAAAGTTTTATAGCAAAAATATACAGATATTGTATTTGTTATATAATTTTTAAATCTTGTACAAATTATAATAATACTATTAGATTTTTTTTTTGTTGTTTTCTTTTCAAAATCTGTATTTTATTATTTTTTTTTTTATTTTTTTTTCTTTTTGATTATTTTCATAAATTTGTTTATTTTTTTTTATTTTTTATTTTTTTGTCTTGTATTTTTTGAGAAGAAGAAAAAATTAAAAAGAAAAATAATTCCAATATAGTAGCTAAGTACTATGTTATAGCAAGTTTTTAAATATAAGTAGCACTATATGTAGAACTTGTTAGCAAATATTAGTGTGATAACTATATTTAAACACTATTAGAATAGCCAGGTATTTGTTTAATATATAGTTAGTTAATTTTGTAAGTTACAATTTTCCAATAAATTAGTACAAGGTTATCAAAGAAAAAAAAAAAAGCTTGCCAAAGTACTAGCTTTAATAAAAAAATAAAATAAACTAAAAAAATCCAATATTAAATTACTACAATAGTATATAATATACTGTACTGTAATAATTTAATTTTTTTATTTTATTAATATTAATACAGTATAAAAAATATATATTTAATAGCAATATAATTTTATATTACTGTATATGCTATACTTCCAAGTTATTTGAAATTATTTGCTTTTTTTAAAACCAAATAATCTTTTAAAATTACTAGTATTAAAAAAATTATTAGATTTAAAAATATTATAAATTATTAAATTCATATTTATAGTAGTAACAAACTTGGTAATAGATTATTGAAAGGCATTATATTGTACAGTAAATCTAATAGCTTATATGTTATCAAATCTGATAATCTCTCAATGCTACTGTAATACTGTACAAGATAGTTGAAACTGGGTAGCGAAGCTGCTTGTATGCGCAATTGTCTAATTAATGCATCAATTACAGAATTATAAACCAATAAAATTTTACACGATTGGTGCATGTTTTTGACATGACCAATCATAGCCTCAGACAATTTCAGACTCTTCGATTGAGTGAGTCTAAAACATAGGAAATTACGAATTTTATCAGACATTCGGAGTTTGCATGCTGGGTGAAACTAGTATTGCTCGAATTTCAAATTCAGATTTGACGAAATATTTTGTTTCGCTCGAAACATTAAATAGTGGTGTAGCAATAATGACTTTATGATGAAATCAGTAATCCAATATATGAATGGCTTTCTATTTCTTTTGTTTCTCTTAGATAAATGCTAAGAACTAGTGTTAAAAAGTTTTTAAAATCCGAACTTTTCTTTTTCATTTTAAGAAGATTGTAAGTTGAACTTTCATAGCATCGATTGGAAAAACTTAATTTTTTGAGATTTTTTATGGTATGTCACAAGCGTAACAAGTTTAAACAATTTGATTCGAATAATAATTAAACTAGTATTTGAAGAACTATTTAACATTATAAATTGTTTGTATAAAATTAAAATCTGAGTTGCCGGGTTATTGGGTCATTCTTTTAAAATTTTACGTTATGAGAACCAAAAAATAACTTTGTGTGGCCATACTGTCTTTAAACATTTCTAATTTTGAGGATCATATGATAATTATCGATAACGATAACAATAACCTCATGTTCTGATAGATAATTTTTACAAAAATGCTGTCATCCAACATACTGTAGTACAGGAAGAACTTAAATACACTCGTTTGATGTTACGTACGTACGTGCGTACGCTATTTATACGTTTTGTTTATATGTGCAATAAACGAATATTCTAAAATATTAAAATGAACCGCATTTTAAAATGCATGACACATAGTAAACTCTTAAAAAGTGACTCGAAGAATTTGACTGGTCTCTTTTAATCAAATGATATATGTGCGTAATAAACCTTTAGCTCATCAGTGCAGTTTAGTAATACAATGTGGCATCTTTGTTAATCTGTTTTGCTTAAGAACATAAAAGATCACCAATTGACCTTGTTCAATAATTAATTTAAACTATATAATAACAATTTTACGATCTGCTGGAACTATTATATAACGAATACATTTATTCTTAGTGCCCTTTGCTTTCATCATTTTTTTTTTTTCATTCTTTTAACATTTTTAAATTGTCTTTCTTTTAATTAAAAATAAATGATGGGAGGCAAATTATATGGCACTAACACTTTCCAGCAACGTAAAACACACACTAATAATACAACCACACACACTACATCAACACCGACAAACTCCTTAACTACAACAATAATTCCGCCTGAATTATATATTAAAATTTGTGAATATCTTACGCCAGATGATTTATTTTCTTTATCACAAGTATCAAAATATTTTAGGAATTTATTGTGTTCAACATCCGCTGCAACTCAAGCGATATGGCGTAATTCTAGACTTCGATATTTGATTTATCCTAGATGTCCAGCGCCACCAGATGGGATGGATGAAAGACAATATGTTATTATTACAAATTTGGCGATAAGATGTCAGTTTTGTTTTCATCCTAGGAAACAATCACAAATATATTGGGCTTTCCGTATTAGAAGTTGTTTAGATTGTTTTCATCATCGAACTGTTAGGTATTTATATAAATATATATATATATATATTTTTTATAAAAAAAAAAATTGGCATAAAAAGAAAGGTTATAATATACTGTATATATAATGAAATTTTATTTTTTTCCTAGTGAATATAGACTTATAAACCATTATAAAATTCCAAAAGATTCATTATGTGGCCTTACTTATACCGCACCATGTAATTATAAAATCTATTGGAAAGATGATATTCGAACAGCTCAAGAAAACTATATGGCAGCTCTGGAAACCAATAATATTGAAGAATATATTAAAAAACAAACTATTAAACTTAATAAACAATTAGAACAAATAGAATTACAAGAATGGGAATTTAAAAATGAGATGGCAAGATGGAATTATCAAAATACATTATTATTTGATGAAATTAAATTAAGATCTAGTTGCATAGCTGAAGAAACAGCTATTGAAATGGGGTTAGATATTGAAAAATTACAAGATTGGGGAATATATTGGTATCCTATCGGTAATGTTTGTAGAACATTAACTGAAGATGATTGGATTGATTGGAGACGTGAAGTTGAAACTGAATGTTCTAGGATTAAGAGAAAAAGTCAGAGATGGTTTCATAGATTTTCTATAAGATCTACTATTTATTAAAGGATTAGAATCTTTAATATTGTATAAGAAAAGTTAATTATTCTTGTTATTTACAGCTATTTGATATTGTTAGATATCATTATTTCTTAGACACACATATATATATATATTTAATATAGAATTATCAATTTTTTTTTTTTATTAATGCTTAATAGTAATAGACTTAATAAATTTTAATAATATATTCTACTATACAAAAAGAATCAAGGGAAAGAAAGTATTCTAAATACTTAAAAAATAGGAACGACGACTATTATTAAATGTGTTAGTATACAGTACAGTATATATAGTACAGTATATAGTATAGTACAGTATATAGTACAGCATATAGTACAGTATACAGTATATAGTACAGTATATATATAGTACAGTATATGCTGTGCATTAACATTAATTATTCACATGAGGTCGCACTACTGATATTCAAACTTAGAGCCGTTAAATATTTCCGAGAATTAAATATATTCTTTCTTTCTTTGTGCTTCTAACGTAACTTGTAGAAACAGTTTTTCACTCTTAATGATACTGAAATCACCAAAATTGTTAAGACAAGAATACTGTATAATATTTAAGACGATCGCAGGTATTTCTCACAATCCACGAACTAATTTTATTACAGCAACGTTAGGAATTATAATCAAAAGACTGTTTCAACAATTATTATTTTACGTATAAACTTAAAAGAAGCTTATTTAGGAAAGTGTCATATTTCAATTTTATCATGCTTATAAGTTATGTATCACTTCTAGAGAAACCATTTTATACGAATAGCATGCGTTTCTTTTATATTTATTTATAATATGTGTGTCGGGAACCGGGTCGGTAAAAATAAAAGCGCGGACCACCAAAATAAGCAAAAATTTGCTTCTAACTATGGATGGGCAAAGTAATTTTGCAAGTAAATAATGACTTATTGCTTATCCCTTACTTAAGTAGTTTATTATTACGCGTAAATTTAGTCATATGATAATGGTCGGAAGTGATCGATCAAAAACTGAGATCATATATTACCTATTTGCAGTAATATTAGGTAAGAATATGTATTAATTTTGCCCACCCCTACTTCTAACCCTGAAGCAATCATATAATTTTTTTAAATCTTTTAACTAACTCTGTATGTACGTTAAATTGGACGTCAATATGAGGTATATTGTAACGGTAATGCAAATTAATAAACGTTACTAACAGTGTTATATATGGTTGAGGCTTGGAGATTTGTACGAACGTACAGCAGTATATACTTTTTCCGACAACTATACAGTACATATTTCACGTTAGTACCCCAGATAATTAAAAGCATCAAATTTTTACAATTCATGTGAAAAACCTCGCATCAATCAACATCTGCTGCAAAATAACGTATTTCAAGTAAAAGTTTTTTGATATTGAAATAAATTTCTAATGATCTTTATAAGTAAAGTAAAAAAATGAAAATTCAATATTTAAAGTTATGAACTTTTCCTAATTAGAATTCTGATATAAATTATTTTTTTTTTAATAAGTTTCTATCCTTGGTTCGCACAAAAAAAATATTTATCAGCAAATGAAACTGCATAATTCAATTTGAAGCTTATCTAAAACAAGTTAGATAATACAATATTGAAGAAATCTTTTTTTTTAATCCTATCGTTATCGTTATCGTTATCGTTATCGTTATAGTTCATTAATTCTCTAACGCTAAAGTATAATTGATACGATTACAATTCTCACGATATTACTAATCATATTTTTATTTATCAAACTTTTTTTGTGATTAAGATCGTGATATGGGGACCTTTGCTTTGAAAAATCACGTTATGGGACATAGTAAATCATATGTCCCATAACATGATTAACAGAATCTAGTATAAAAGTCCTTTTTTTGCCGTTTTTTTCATTGATGATTAAAGGTTGGTTATCGTATAATATATATATATATATATATATATATATATATATTTCCTTATTCCTTATTATATACAATGAATAAAATTTTAAATTTTTTATTTATTTGAATAACGATAAATATAGGAAAATGGGTAAATTAAAAAGGATTAAACCATCTTCCAGGTCATCGGTTTCAAAATATTTAACGGTCAATTCTAATTCTCTTTTATGTAAATTACCTCCGGAAATCCTTTTAAATATTTGTAAAAATCTCTCTCCATATGATCTAATTTCACTTTCAAAAGTATGTAAATTATTTTACAATGATTTACGTCAAGGTGATTCTTTAACTATACAACAGATATGGCGTGAATCTCGACTTTCTTTTATGCATTATCGTCAAATGGATCCACCCGATGGAATGAAAGAACGTGATTATGTTTTATGGTTGTTGGATTTAAGGTGTGAATTTTGTAAAAAGAAGACTTCTTTGGATATTTCTTGGGAATTTAGAGTAAGAACTTGTTCTAAATGCTTGGATGAAAATTTTGTAAGGTATAGTTTCTTTTTCGAATTTTTTTTTCTACTTTATTATTATTATTATTATTACTATTATATTATTTTATTTATTATATTTATTTCGGCTCTTAATATTATAATTAGGCATAATGATCTATCAAGTTCTTTAATATCTGGTATTCCAACCTTTATTCTAAATTGTGTTCCTTGGAAACGAGATGATCGACATTATCGTATTAGAATTTTTCGGGAAGAACAAGTAATAGATAAATATAAAGAATTTATGAGTGTATCTGAACATGAACGTGAAGAGTGGAAAAAACAACAATTGGATAAAGTTTTACAAATTCAGCGAGATTCAAGTATACGTCGAGTTGAAGATGAATTTGCAAAAGAATGTCGAAAAGAATATAGAAGAAAGATTATACGTGAAAGAGTTAATAAAATGTTAGAAGAAACTAATGAAGATGGTTCTCTAAAGTATAATGAAAGTATTCTTAAAAGTTGTCCTGCCCTCCATAACGCTTTTAATTATGATACCTATTTTAGTGAGAGAGCTTGGAAATTACTTAAAGGAAAATTGATTAAGGAACATAATATAAAAGAATTTTCATAAGGATTTTTCATAAATTGAATGTAATTTGAACTTTTTCATTTTGTATTTGTCTTTATTAGTTTATCTGAATTGATAATATCGAAAAAAAATGCTATTACATTTGGCAGCGGATTATTCCACATGTTTAAAGTATTGATTACAACGCGCATAATACTGTTGTTATTCATGCTATTTAAAAGTATTGATTGCAACGAATATAATAACGTGAGTTATATTCATAATCCTGTTCATTCTAGACATCTGGCAAAAGCAAATACAACTTTTATACAAATCATATTCAGTTACTATTTATCGGTTCAAAATTTTAAAAAATTTTTAAAATGTAAACATAAAATTTTGTATTTGGATTATAATAAAAATATTAAGATTTATAATAAATTTTAATAATCTAATTTAAATACTGTATTAAATATTTTAATAAACTTTTTATATACTGCATTAAAACAATTTGGTTTTTTTATTAAGATGAAATCTGACCTCCAATTTTATTTATGTCTATAATTTCAGATACAATAATACGATATACTAATTACAGATTTATTAAAACTACTGCAAAACAGTAATTTATATTATCTATATTTAAATTTATTTTTTGTTGTGATTGTAAAGAAGTGTGATAGTTATAGAGGTTAAATACAGTATATATATATTTTTTTGGTATTAAGATGAGGTCTTGCTCATATCTTTATTGATTAATTTATATAAGCAATAAAAGCTTAATTTGTACAAAAACAAATAAATATAAATTATATGCAAGAATAAAAGCTCAGACTAAAAGTTCAAACTAAAGTTTAAACTAATTATCTGTGACCTAAACCTACTAGAGTGGTTAAGACTCACCTAGATTTGAATAGTTAGGATATTATTAATAGATGTGCTATATCTAATCCACATAGTAAACCAGATATTAAGTTTGGTAGATGCTTGTCCTAGAGGAGGGCAAGTATTAGATTTAGAATGTAGCTAGTTAGAAAAGCTACAAGAGCAGTTATAAGTATATTTAGTTTTGTTTCTTTTGTGTGAAGAAGATATGAATAAATTAGATGTTGTGTTAAAGGTAGGTTGAGAAAAAATTTGATGTGCTTTTTTTTAGTAAGAGAAGTTAATACAGTAGAGAATCCATATTTTATAGTATAACTCATCAGAGATTTTAAGAAGTATTTGTATAATAAGTTGAGAAGCATTAGAGTATGAAATATCAAAGGAATCTAGAGCCTGGATCAAGAGTATTGGTATAAAACCTTTAAGTATAGAGTGAAGAGAATAAGAATAAAAAGATAAGTATAAAGAGTTAAAGAAGAATGTGAAAGGATAGTATGTATGAGGTTGTAGAGTTAGTGTATAGAAAGATTGAGATTGGAGTTGAAGATAATATTATATATTGAGGAGTTAATAATTTGAGTTAAAAAAGTATTATTGGAACAAGTATACTAGTAAGAAGAAATGTTTAAACAGTTATAAGAGAAGCAATTATCAAGTGTAAATATGAAAGAGTATAGAATGGAAATATACATGTATTGGTAACATATTAAAAAGTAATTTGATTTTGAAAGCTTTTAAGTAGTTTAGTTTAGGGTTGGTAAAGTTGTATGAGATTTTTTAATTATTGTTAAAGTATAACTAGAAGGCTTTCCAGTTAATCAAGTAAAAGAAGAGTGACCATTTTTGGGTATAATGTTGTAAAAGCTATAGGGCAATAGTATGTGCTTTGCAAATTGTTTAATGAATTGTCTAGTAGGGCTTTTGACAAAATATTCTTTTCATAGTAGATTAGAGTATAAATTATAAAAGTTAGTATAGTTGAAGTTTAGAATTGAAGAGAAGAAGTAGTTGTTAGCAAGTCTGCAAGATTGTTAAAGAAGTTGTCAGAATATGCTTAAATTTTATAAAAGGAGATTTTTATGTTAAAAACTTTTAGAATATTAAGAAGTATGTGTCAGATAGGCCAGAAGTTAAACTTAAGATATTTAAAAAAGTGTGGTAATATAGATAGAAGCTTGTTATATTTAGAAATAATAGATTGTGAGTTTGTAAATATTTCAATATTAGAGTTTTGAGAAAATATTAAAATAGCAAATAGTATTGCTAGTAGTTCAGCTTTATAAGAAGAAGGCCAGTTAGAAATCTGTATAAAAAAATTGTAAATAATATAGTTATTATGAACTTGAACCTAGCCAATACCTATTAAGTATAGGTTGGTATCAAGTTGTTTAACTAAACTACAGTATCTGTATAAAAAGTAAATTGGTTTTGGAACAAGTTAGTAGAGATGAACTAAACAAGTTGTAAAAAAGCATTATTGTCTTAAAAAATAGTTAAGATAATAGAATCAGTAATATTAATAATAGATAGAGATAATATTAGAAGAGCATTTAATATCAACAGAGTAGATAAGATTAATATAGTTAGTATTAAAGTTGAGCTATTTGTTGGCTTTTTTCTTACCCAAAAATTGGATAAAAAAAATAGCTAATACTTCTAAAGTATAATAGCTTGATATGCAGTTAGAGTTAAAACTACAATCTTGGCAAGAAGTACAAGAGATAAAAAGTAATAGATAGTAATATAAGGTTGAAGTATTAATTTTTTTTTTTTTTTTTAAAAAAAAAAAGAGATCTTTTCTCTATTCCTTTATTTCAAAATATATAATTTGGATATCACTAGTACTAATTTATATATTTAACAAAAAGGAGTAGAGGTTAGAGCTTAGGTTTACTCTCAACCTATTCTTAGCTAGAATAGTCAAAAAACCTCTAGACTATGTAATTTAAAGAGAGAGATATTGAATTGTAGTAAAAAGAATTGTTAAGCTATAAATAAGTTCTTTTATCTACTATACAAAGAGAAGGAGTATTTTGAAGGGGTGTAATTATAACTATTAAGTTTGGTATATTTTGTTGTATCAGTATTTGACTTGGTTTTCAAATTTCTTCATATATATACTTGGTAATTGTGTGATAGATTTGTGAAATTAAAGTAGTGTTTTGAACAAGTAAAATAATATAGTAATTGTTTTTTCTACAGAATTCAAGCCAAACTTGAAGTTTGAGTAATTTGGTAAGTCCTTGTACCTTGTGAGTAAATAAGTTGAAATATTTGTAAATATCAAATTCTATAATTAAGAGTGAATTGCTATATAGCAACAAAGAATTAGAAGAAGAAATTGATATATGTGATATCATAAGGTCAACACTAGTAGACAGTAAACCAGTTTGTGAATTTTTATTTATAGTAGTAGAGGGTAATTATCTAAGATATCCTAGTGGGATCTAGTAAGTTAGAAAGGTTAAGAAGGTAAAAAGATATGTCTTAAAAGTTGAAATAATTTTGTAGTTCTGTGATAGTGCTTTTAATCTTTTCATGTTCAGTAATTAGGATGTGGATTGTATATTGAAGATTTATTTGTTCTTGGTAGAAAATGATTTCTGAGAGTTGGAATAAAAGTGGAAGTTTGTTTGAGATATTTAAATTAATGTAGATTTCAATCTATTTACTTGAGATTTGGTAGAAAAAATAGTATTTTCTCAGAAGTCAAGCAGTGTTAACTAGGGCTTTGGGGCTTGTAATTGATATTGTTAAATATACTTTGGTAATAAGATTATGTTTACTAGAAAGTGGAGATTTATTTGTAAAGTTAATAGTCATATAAGTGAGTAGGAGTAGGATATTAAATTTATATTTGTCTTGGATTTCTACTATAAATTCTTTGGCTTGGTGAATATCAAAAATAGAAAAATTGTAAGTTGTAGTTGTTTTAATAGAGTATAGATCAGCTAGAAGTGGTTTTTTTTATACAAAAAAGTCATTAGAAATATGTCAAAAGCTGTAGTGTTCTTTAAGGATATTAACATATCTATAAAATTCTGAAGAATTGGTTAGATTACAAGAAAACAAATGGTAAATAGTTGAGATAAGATTTTGAGAAGTTGATGGGAGCCAGGGTTTTGCTTTTGATAAATTGAAGTAATTAGGAGTATCCTGTCTACAGTATAATACTTCATTAATTTTGAGCGATATTCAGAAAGGAATAGCAGTCTAGCCTATTCTGTAATTGGAAAGAGGTTCTGAATTTCAATGTGGAAATTAGCAGAATTGTCTAGAAGTAGTTTAAAAATAGTGAGAAAGTAGCTATTGAGAAGTTTCTTAAAGGTAAAAATTTTTTATAGAGCTAGTACAGTTGTTTGAGTAAATTTGTGATCTTGAATTGGTAGTGGGAAAGGAAGAATTTGTTGAATTAGTAGGTCTATCTCAAGTAAGTCCTAAAGTAAAGAAATAAGTAATGTTGAGTAAGCTTTATTAATCAAGCTATATAGCTTTTCAAAGCTAAAAGTGCAGTTTATCTATACAAAATTAAAACAGTAGATAATTATTCAAGTACAATTATGTAGGCTATTGGTAAAGAAGTTTATATTGCATATGAAATCTATAGCTAATTTGGTTTTAAGTTTTGTAAAGATTTGAATTTGTTTACAAAGCAAACATTATATAGTCTTTTGTATTTTTTTACTGCTATTTGTAAAAGTGAGTTAAACTCTTTTTGATATTGTGGTTAGATTTTTTTGTTTTTTATAAATAATTGAAAGAAAGCTAAGTCCAAGTATTCAAATTTTATTTTAATTGCATTTGGTAGATTGTATTAAGTTGGATTAGTTTGAATTTTGTATAGAAAGAATTTTAAGAGTAGTTCAGAAGATGAAAAAGTGTTAATGATCATATTATTGTTCCAGACTGTTGTGTCAAAATTCTGTATACATGCTTTTGCTAAAGCAATAGTAATGAAGTTACACTAGATAAGCAAGCGGTCATCTTTAGTGTATTTCTTTTTTGGAAGATTGGAGGTAAGTATACTACTATATAACTTCTTTGGGGTATGAGTGATTCAATTGTTGCATTAGATTAAGTATCCATATGATTGTCTATTTTTTCTTTTGATTGAATTTGTTATATACTGTTATTAGAAGTTGATAGTTGTTGGTCTGAGTTCCAGAAATTGTTTTAAG